ATGGGGGTTATGTTTCCCCTTTTCCAGTCAGTGGGAACTTCACCAGACTGCCACGAGTTCTCGAATATGATGAATAGAGGTTTCGCAACTCCATCTGCCAGTTCTTTCAGGACCCGCAGATGTATTCCATCAGGTCCCATGGACTTGTGCACCTTCAGGTTTCTCAGGTGTTCCCAAATCTGATCCTCTAGGGGTATGGCTTGTGTCCTTGCCAATTGGCCTTCTCCAGATCTTGGGAAACCAGCTCTCCCGTTTCCTTCTGCAGAGGGCCCACATTTAAACTAAATTTCTTAATTTGGATCTGTACCTGCAGAAAGCCATTTGAAGAATCCCTTCGCTAATACTGTGAGGCTCTGGTAACACCAAGAGCCGTTTGTGACAGCAGACACCAATCCACAACCACCTGCTTTGAGTGCCATCTCCCTTCCCAACCTGCACGCGTTCCTGGCACTTCCCTCCACCAGCAGCGGCCCTGACCAGATGCTTCGGTGAGTTTTTGATGGCATCAGGATGTAGCTGTGAGGTTGGATTCTGCCAGCCCAGGGCCCTGGATCAGTTCACCCAAGGGGCTGGAAGAGCTTCAGTGCCAGCACGTAGGAGAGATGGGGACATGCAAGCTCAAGCAGAGGGCAGGGCAGGATTACAGCAGCACCATTTAGATCAGTTTAAACTACGGTGGAGATGCAAAACAACACCCACAGCCATCCCCACATACAGCAGTGAGATGGAGAATTCAGTAAACTGTCCCAGACAAGCAGAGAAAAACATTTAATGGCCTCATTGAAAGAATTTTAAAAATCAGTTGTGCTGGTTTTAAGTCTGTAAATCTTAAATTAGGACAAAAAGAAGCAGAGAAGATAAAGAGAGTGAGAGTGCATGAGCAGGAAGAGTGAGTGCGCGTGTGTGAAAGAAGGGAAAACAAAGAAGGTTTTACAGTGGGTTACGCTTCAGTTAACATATTTACTTATTACAAGAGCTTTCATATTTTACATCAGAAACCAAGTACTTACCAGCAAGAGATCATGACACAATAATTCAGAATTATAGTATAAAAAATTAAAACTTTCCATTTCTTCAGTATGAAAGTTTAAAAACTCTTAATAATCTGTGAAGAATCAATTTCAACAGGACTATTAAGATGTGCAGTTTCTACAGCTGATGTACGTGACTAACCACTAAGCTCAGTTTAGAATCATGGTGTTTAGACCTTACAGTGCATGAAACAAGTCCCTTTATTCTCCTTCACACTGTCAATTTAATGTTCCGAGCCGCTCAATGACAAACAAAAGCAGTCAATCTAAGGCAGCCTATATGACAGCCTGGCTCTTCTCTCTCCCTGTGCTTTGCTCCCTGCTAACCTGATGAGAAGGGGGGCTGCAGCCATCCTCTTTTCAGCCAAGATCCCTGAAGTATGCATCACTGACTTCTCATCTCTCTTCCGGGCTGGAAGCGGGCGGAGATCTTCCACTGGGCCTACAGATGCAGCATATCTGCTCCACTTTGACAGTGTGCGAGCAGCTCTCCTTCCTTCCCCCAGCTTTGGAGGAGAACACAAAGACAAAGCAGCACAAAATGAGAATGCAATGCCCAGCAAATATCAATGATTTGGTATGCTATATAGAGCGGCATCACCACCACAGCACGCATACACTAGACTAGACATCAAGATGTACAGCTGGAAAACATCATACATACTTAGAAGCCTGCATAATAGTAGGAAAAAAATACCACCAGTTTGAAGCAGTGGAATCATGTGAAAGGAAAAGTAGATCTTTGCCCATTAAAAACCACATACAACTGTACTGAGAGGGGAAAAAATTTATTGGTCCTTTAAATTTCCAGTGATTGTATTACGTTCAGCAAATTCATTCAAATATTACATACAAAGGATAACTGTTCTTCATTTGCAGCGTTAGAGCTAGCTTAACGTTCAGTGGAAATGTAAGGAATAAAAGCAAAAAAACAATGTCTTCAAATTATTAGTGAAATACATGATTATTTTTTCCCATTTCAGCAAAACACTTGTAACAAGACCTGGGTTCTGTGCTCAGCACCCATCTTCCACAAAGACAAACCTCGCATACCCACGGAAGGCACTTGAAATACCTGGAAGTTGGGATGTCAGGAAGAGGTGGGACCAGCTATCGCTTCGATAACAATATGCTCTTTTTTAATAAGTGCAATACGAGTATAAATTCAAACAGCCACAAAGCACTGAGATACAAAAATTTAGCTAGACATGCTAACTGAAGGGCTGCAAAGCTGGAGTACACCAAATCCTTCGTGGGGCGCTCCCCATTACTCATCATCTCCACCACAGAGGAGCAGGAGTGCTTTCCTGTAGTCCCCAGATGTATCTTTCTGTTAATATAACAGACCAGTCACCATGAGTCACAACCACAGAAACGCAAAGAAAAGCAGCAGCCAAGAACGACTCCAACAGATTATACATTTATCCCACCCACAGGAAATCCACTTGGATGACTCTCCGCTCGGGAATGACGCAAGGAAATTCTCTGTCTCTTGTGTTAGAGCTGTATTTACACCGACAGAATCTCAGAAAGAGCCTCCAAAAGCCTTACTGTAACTGAGTTACCCACTACACACTAGAACGCATCTGTCTCAGAGTGAGAAAGCGCAAGCAGAGGAGAAGCCCACAGCGGCACCTATACAGCCGCCTTTAAACCTACCAAGCGCACCCGCGCCGCTCAAAGGCCCCAGCCCTGCTCCCCATCCCATGGGAAGCTCCACTGCTAATTCCACAGGACAGCTGTATGGGCCTGACCAACAGTGCCAAAAGCAACTCCACCCAGCTGAATTAAGAGAGCATCATGTTAGGGCGTGATAACAGAAAATCGTCAAAGCCAGCATTAAAATATTAAAAATAAACCAAAATACATTAAAAAAATCCTAGGAATCAAAAAGCACTTTGGCTCTAACTCTGCAGGAACAGCTGGCTCTGGATTTCCCACTGGCTCCTCCCCATTCACTCCAAGGAGGTTATGATTCAGGCTGATTCCAGAGTGAAATGCTTTCCACTTTAAAACGGTGCAAAAGGTTCCACACCACAATCCAAGTTTTAAACTTCAACTTTGTGGTAAATTCCGACTCCCAACCCCAGTATTATTCCTCTGGAGCCAGCACCCTCTCTGAATCAGAAGGAGCCAGGCAAGAAAAAGGAAATGAAGCAGCAGCTAAAAGTGGAGTATGAGTAACTGTAACTTCAGAAGGCCACATCTGCCCTCCTAGGGCGCCCCGCAAAGAAACCTTCAGCTTTCCACAGGAAACGTCCCCCACTCACATGACGCCACGTGGTACAGAGCTGCACACCAACCACCGCTGCTCCCAGAGCGCATTGTGTTGTCCAGCTCTACTCACATCCATCCCCTTCCACAGAAACAAACAGCGGAAACAACAACATCTCTATGGCCCCCGCCTTCCCTGACAACAGAGAAGGAATTTTACCTGAATCACATGGTGCAAGGATTTTGCAAAGTTCTTTCTGAATTCTTGTCTAATATCCAACAGATCGACTTCACTTCTCGACACCATGACCCTGATCAGGGTGTCATCATCAGTGCCAGCCCCCTAAAGAGCAAAGGTTAAATAGGGTTAAGACAGGAGTTTGTTCTGGACAGGCGCTCTAGCAAAACAACAGATACACACAGCCACAGTGCAACAAGAAAGCACCAAGTGCAACGAGCGGGGTCTCAAAACACCCTTGCACTGCATTCCTACTGCGAAACAGAGCATATCTGAGACCCTATCACAAGCCATTCGCACTGCAGTGTGGAGAACGGAGGACTGACCGCGCAAGGTGCTCTAACCCCTGGGCTTCTATGAAGTGCCATACGGTCAGAGCTCTTATTTCAAGTTCCATCTCACAGGCTTCAACCGTGAGTGCCCATATGCACTTAGAACAACCCAGTTCCAAGGTTACAGAGTTGTCTATCTGATCACCATGATCGGAATCACATGCAAATCACCCCTGCAATGCACCCTGGGACTACAGAATTGCAGTCAGCTCTGCAACTAGGTCCACCACCCCTAACAATGACTAATACAAAGCATGTAACATCATACAGCAAGACACAGGCCATTATCCAGCTATTCATTATGAAGCCAAACTTCATAAACCTTTTCCAACCACGCAGGCATGCTCCACTCTTTTATTCACCTTTCCTGCTTTAAACATTTTCCATTCCTGTGCTGGCAAGCTGTGCCAGACTCGCAGCCTGGCCCCTCCTGCTCAGACAAGTCGGGCTCCGCACAAGCTGTCGCGTGCTGACCTGCTAATGCACCTCGAGGAAGGGCCTGGCCGAGCCCCCACGATCATCTCCAGCCTAACGTCCAGAGTCACTCAATCCTTCGACTGGCTGTCATCTTCTTAGATTATCTCTAAAAATGCCAGGAGTCCGGTGGTTTCCGAGTAGGATTTGACATTAGAATCTGGCGAATGCTAGGCTCTGCCCTACCTCATCCTGAAAGCGAAATCCGCGCGTTGTGGAACTCTGTCACGCCAGAATGATTAATGAGGAGCACAAACTCTTTTGCCAAAGTAATGCATTATGATCTTTCTTATCTGAAGTGCTTAATGATTTGTATTTATCTTAAAAAATAATAGGGGATCTCAACAGCTGACATTCATGAGGGTCCTTGTAACAGAAATGTAAAAGATACTAAAAACTACAGGAAAATGTTTTCTACTGCATTCTTTAAAAAATGAAAACTAAGAAATAGCTAAGTAAGAAAAAAGCAATCCTCATACAGCTCTCAGCGTACTGGCATAATATTTCCACCTGAACCTCATTTTACACTGATGTTTATAACAGCAGTAAAGCAGCTTTTAAAAATTAAGCTATCGTTTCATCTCTTCTCACTAATTCTCAGGCTGACACCTCATCAACACAACCATCTGGTGACAAACCCACTTCCGTGCTTTTCAGCATGGGGAAGGGAGGAATTCTTCAGGGAAGCTGATAACTTGCCTGAAAACAGCAGACTACCTACCTCGGCTTTAATTAATGTTAGCCACTGGGAGTTAAAACCCAGAGTTTTCCCTGCTTATCTCTTCCCATCCGAGAGAAGGTGCAGCCAACAGAAACACAGCTGTGTCGCTGGTGGGATTCCCCTGCAGAATCCTTTGTAGCTGTTAAAGCCTCTTTCCTTTTTACCTGACAAGATCTGTTTCCTTCTCGAAGTGGGACGGCATTCATCAGAATGTTTTTTCACAACTAACAATGCCTTCATCTCCAAAACAAAGAGCACTAGATCTGCAGAGCTGCAATTTAGTGTTTGGTCATCTTTACTCCCTCAATACATCCACCCTCGAAAGACACCATAGTCTTCATTTACTGAAGGTGCCCAGTGGATCTACCCAGACATTTTCCAGCACAACAAGACCAAGTCCCAAACCAGCTGATGAGACTGGTGTTTCCTGTGAAAGATGCATGGTCTGACAAACTAATGGTGAATGTAAGGTAAAGCTTATGAAGCGTTTGCATCCTGCCCCAGATCTGCATTCCCCAAACCTTTCGCAGATGCTTAGTGGTACAGTATCCTGTTGGCATTTGCCATGAAAGAAGAAATTAAGAACAAGCGAAAGGGACAGGAATTTTAGCTGGGGGAGATGGAAAATGACGTGTGGATAACATGTACGTACCTTCATGGAATAATACAGAGTCTCGGCAAAATAGGCAGGCACGCTTCGGATGCATTTCACTGAAAAAAGCCAAAGGATCACATTAGTGATTGTTATTCAATGCAGGACCACTTTCACTGTCAAGACAAGGTGCCTGTCACCAGATCATTCTCTCCAGTGTGGACAATTACGTATTCAGCTGCCAGCTAGACTGTTCCTCTGCCACAACTCTGTGGGCTCTAGGAGTCAGAACGCACCGTGTAACTCTAACAGGAAAGACCCCTTGCTAGTCAAATTCTACTCCCAGTTACAAATCTACTATGACACTGTCCTCAACAAGATGCCAGGAATACAAAGGAAGGCGCGGTTTTGTCTCACTTTGACAGAGGTTATACAACCAAGCAGAACGCAGCTCGCCACCACCCCTGGCCCCACTTCCCCCCAGCCCCTGCACCTACTGAAGGAAGAATAAAGGTACTCTCTAAATACAAAAGTAGATCCCAGGTGATTAAGTTTAAAAAGGAACCATGTTTTCATGCCACTTCCTATAACAACTTTCATTTAAGGAGGCTTGGGAGTAAATGAAGATCTATTAAGGCTTAATTACCAACTGCCAAAAGCAGCTTCTCCAAATCACCAGAGGTTTCACGGTCAATGGTCTCTTCAATTTGAAAGCCAGAAATGGTCATGTACTTGTCAAACACTGCAAAACAGAAAGTGTGCTTAGTCCCGCGCCTCACCGGCACTTCTCCCAGTATCCTCCTCAGAGCCATCTGCAGTGCACTACCCATGGTTCAAATGCCACCATCCACTCATTCTTCCCTCTCTGTTTCAAATACCTATTTCCTACCTGACTGCTACTATACACCACATCCCTGTGCCTGGGGAGCGACCACCTCAGGCACCAGCACATGCTGAGGGGCCACCAGCTGGAAAGCAGCTCTGCAGAAGAGAACGCTGGGGGTCCAGGTGGACAGCAGGCTAAACACAAGACAGCAGCATGCACTTGTGGGGAAGGCCTAGGATGGGGCCCTAGGCTGCGTCAGGAGGAGGAACGTTGCCAGCAGGCCGAGGGAGGTGATCCTTCGCCATCCACTCGGCACTGGTGACACCACACTGGTGGGCTCCCCAGTACAAAAGAGATGGAGCAACTGAAGTGAGTCAAGTGAAGGGCCTCTAAGATTAAGGGGCTGGAGCATCTCTCCTATGATGAAAGGCTGAGAGCGCTGGGATTTGAGGCTGGAGAAGGCTCAAGGGGGAATCTCATCAGCATGCACAACTATGTGAAGGGAAGGTATAAAGAAGACAGATGCAGGCTCTTCTCAGTGGTGCCCAGTGCCAGGACAAAGGACAGTGGGCACAGGAGGTTCTGTCTGAAAATCAGGGCACAAAATCCCCTGTGCGGGTGACTCAGCAGTGGCACGGGTTGCCCAGGGAGGTTGGGGAACCTTGGAGGCATGCAAAAGCCATCTGGACATGGGCCTGGGCAACCAGCTCTAGGTAACCCTGCTCAAGCAGGGTTGGACACGATGAGCTCCAGAGGTCCCTTCCAACCTCAGCCATTCTGTGATGTGGCCAACACATCTAGTGACAGGGTGCAGGGAGAAGAGGGAAAGGAGGGATGTTTTAGGAAATAATAAGCATTTTTCCCAGAGTGCAGCCATCATTTAGCCTGAGACTAACATCTTGTCTACACTGGACTACAGCATCAAATTAACAACTGGCCTACTGGCATTCTATTCAAGTCTGTGTTCATAAATATCCATAAGACATGAGTTTTCTAGGAAATCGTACATTTCTATCACGCTAAGTAAGTGTTGGGTGCATCAAAACTAACTTTAGGATTACTTTAGTATAAACAACGGTAAAAAATTAAACAGCAAAAGAACAAATCAAGTTACCTTTGAAGATCCAAATGAACCCAAAGATTCAAAATGGAAACCAAAAAAAATGAAGAATCAAAGCAAAACTTGCTGGTCATGATTTCCAATGGTCTAAACAGCTTCATAAAACAGACTAATGAATTAGTAGGGAGCAGGGGGAAAAAATTACCACTCCTTCGAGCAGGAGATCACCACTGCTAGGGGGAACTGAATTACAGGAAACAAAAGTAAACATAGTAAGTAGAGGGAAGAAGTGATTAAAGATTTCTGGGCTTGACAAATATGGTACCAGAAACAATTTTTCTACCATTTCTACCACCAGCTGGGTAAAACTGGAGCTTAAGGCAGAAGTTTTCAAGCATACATGAACCATGCCACCTACCCCTCCTTAAATGGGAAACGCTTCGGGTTCCCAAGATGGTGATGAACTTTTCTTCATCTGTGCCCCATTTCAGCTCCCCAGCTCTAAACAAAACCTGTTGTTAATTCAAGAGATCAAAACAACAGCATTTGTTACGTGTCCACACACCCTGCTGAAAAGCTCTATTTGTCTCACTCTAAGGAGCATTGAACTCAGTAACAAGCTATAGATGGAGAGAAAAGAATGAAAGAAAATTGCCAAGTACTGAACTGACTTTAGAAAGAAATAAATGATAAATTCTGAAATCTACTGTGAAAGCATTTGCATGAGTAATACTGCCTAAGGCCCCAGATTTGACTGTGTGAATAGTCGTTTGGATAATCCTGCAGTTCTCTGCAACTGTGATAAAACAGGAGAAAATCCATTCCAATACTGCTTTCTCTGGTTGGGGGGGGGGTGGGGGGGGGGCAGTTGGGAGAGGGTTTTGGTCCCCTCCCTCCCATATTTCAAATCAGACTAAATCAGACTAGCAAAACTTCCTTACATGATGACTCATATGAATGGGAGAACCACGCTAACTTGGCCCAGGAGGAAGTTTTCCAACAAAGAAGGGAAAATGGATTTAGAAACAATCAGAAACAGGATTTCTGGGCTGCTAAATTCTTAGCCATATGAAACCATATCAGTAACAGATTTTAATCGTTTTAGCACATTCATTGCTCTTTGGGCAAGTCTTTCCTTAACACAACCACCAGGCCATTACCAGCATTTAGGAAAGTAAAGCACTTCTAAAATGTGGAGTAAGCTCTGCATATAATGGGGGGGGGGAGGAAAGGGAAAAATCAGAAAATTAAATTAAGGTTTTTTCCTGACATTCAGCTTTTTTCCAGATTGTGTGCTGAACACCATGTAAGGAGAAAGGTTTGTACCTATCACAGTATATAGAATTTTTTCTCCCTTCCCTATGAGCAGGACAGGCAAACAGGTTACCCCTGTACTCCGGCAATGAAATATTTCTTAGAAAAATCCCCACAACCAAATCTGCTGCACAGCAATGCTGGTGGCCAAGTCTGTCCCTACTGTAAAGCCTGAATGGAGTGAATCCCCTATTTACATTTCTACCACAACCCTATTCAAAACGCATTTGTGACTGCTGCATGCCCTTTTTTAATTGTGTGCTGGTTTGGGGCAGGAACAAGCTCCTTCTTCCCAGAGCTGTCAGCTGGCCCAGAGCAGCTGAGGGGGTGCTTCATTCCAGGGTACATCAGGCTCGGGGCACATGCGCAGTTAGGAGGTGGGAGGTGGTTGGGGTGGGGGGTTGTTAAGATTTGGGGCTGGCTTGATAGCTGGGTCCGTAGCTCCTTTGTCAGCTCTTGGTAGGGTTGTTAGCGGGCTGGGGGGTCAGAGCGTTTCCTCTCCTCCCTCGGGCTCTCAGGCTTGGACTCTCGCTGGTCTGGGACCTGGCTGTGTGTCAGTCAGCACGTGGTGAGCTCCTGTATCATATGTTCTATTTTCTATTATTTTAATCACTTAGTAGTAGTAGTGTTATTAGTAGTAGTATCACTATAATTTTCATTTGTATTATTCTCATCTCCACTTCACCTGCCTTGCCACTGTGCAATACCCAAGATGTACAGCAATCGCATAACTTCAAAAAAAGTGATACTCACAAAATCTCTTCCAAAAAGTTACACTTTCTCTTTCAGACATTCTCAGAAAAGCCTTGCAAGTTCCCTGCATATTCATACTATGTCATAGTGTGAATGCCCATTCCCCAGCTTCTTTGAATTAATGTTTAATAAACACAGACCAAAAAAGAAAATTAAAAGTCACCAGTGAGTAAAACGGCTGCCCTCTAACGCATCAAACCCAATATCACATCAACCAAGAGAAACACCAGGAAGCCAAAAACAGGCTTACATTTGCAGTTACATACCTCAGTTCTGACCACCTGTACCCGGCAGTTACAATCAGAAAATTCTCTGAATCTGTTCAGCTGTTAGATGCTGAAACGTACAGGTATCAGTGAAGAGAAATGTGACAGAACGCTTCTCTGTTTGGGTCCCAGCTCAAGTCACACATAATAACAAACCACAGAGACCACTTAGAAAGCCAGGGCTTTTTCTGCATTTAGGAATTGTGCCTCCTAAATTGAGATGCTAATTTAAAATCAATTATGAGGTCAGAAGAAATCTATCTACCTACTAAGGCCTATTGTTCAGGGGTTTCTGGAATTACATAAGCCCAGCAAAAGGCAAGACTGACACAATTTCATGAAACAGTCCAATTCATGATTCAAACATTTGCCTCACTAATTTCCAAGCTCTGGTTTCCACAGGATTAATTTTAATAGCAGAAGAACAATGCTTTCTGACTTAACAAAGGATAGGCCTGTGCCAATAAAAAAACCCTGCTTTGCTGGTCTGTTGTTCCATCTTGCCCTACTACCAGGAGAATGTTTCATTGATCTGGTATTCTGCTTTTCCTCCCTGTCACCTTGAACAATCCAATGTATGAAGAAGCACACAGACAGAACCTTAACAATTTCTCTCTCAGATCCAAATTCTAGCTGTACACGCTTTTTGTAAGGTTACTTGTAGAAACGCCCCAAAAAACAAGCCATTCACCCACCTGAGCATCCTGCTCAACAAGACCTTCATCAACTCTGCCATCAGGGTCTCTATTTGCCTAAAGAGAATTTTTAAAAGCTGTTAGACTGAAGAATCAGAAGTAGAATCAGAAAACAACTTATCTGTAATATTGAGCCTGGGAGAGTTACTGCGAGAAACCAGCGCCTAATGCATCTTCTCCAAAATCCCCTGGTTTTCCCCTTCTGCTTGCATGTGTCTTTATGAAACAGATGTTCTCTTCTCCTCTTGCCTTCAAAACCCCACGCAGCAGGCATTCTGCTATGAGCAGTAGAGTTTTTCAGTTCGTTGATGTGGAAATGACCCATAACAGAGTCCAAGACTGACCCTGCGAGCCAGGGGAAGTGGCTCAGTTGTAGAATCAATCCTGCCTATCACCAGGTGTATCGAGAATCCCAGCTTAGTAAGCAGAAAGTGACAAGTGCACATCCGACAGGAAAAACGAAGTGACCATCGTACGCACATGCCTGCACACAAAGAGGTACTGACCTGCAGCAGGACCACCAGCAGTCTCTGAAAGTAGCCTGAGGTTTCTCCTGTGATCTTATCCTCCAAGTCGGCCTCATACTCTGCAAAAGAGCAATACCCATTCAGCCCCTTCAGACTGCCTCACTATTTTGAGGAGAAAGCGAGGAAACACCAGAAGTTCATTTGACTCACAGTTTGTAGAATCATTTATCAGAAAGAACTTTAACAACTAACACATACTCTGCTTTCATTTATAACCTAACATTATTGGCAAAGAGGTGAAAAGACAGCATCTCACACCTAGCATCAGGACCAGATTACCCAAAATATTTTGAAATACAAGGTGGCGTGTATAGATTCTGCTCTTTAAGGGACTAAAAAGCACAAAGATGTGGAGTTTTGCTAAAATATTGCAGTGTCCCAACTGTACAACAACTGTGAGCCCAGAAAAGTATAGTCCTAATGAATTTTGCCCTTGGAGACTCTAAGTTTTGCCTCTAACTTTACTAAGACATGAGAATTTCTTGTGTGGCAGGAAATCTGTATAGAGATATAAGAAATGTGTTGAATTAAATACTGCCCTAAAAAAAAAAAATCAAACCACAACCACAGTCACAGGGTAAAAGCATGCGCTCCTGTGGACCACCAAAAAGCTGCACCTACTTTAACACAAATGCACTTGAACAGAACACTAAGTAAAAGGCAAAAAGTCACTTTTGGGCTTTTATGTGATACCAGTTTTCTAGTTTCCAGTTACTAAAAATCCCCTTTCAGTCAAAGGGATAAAAATAACAGGTGAAAAAAGGAATGCACTTGAATGAATTCTAACTATAGAGCACAAAACACCCTAACCTGCAGTCATAGCCCCAAAATAAAAACTATTTTAGTTTACAATCCAAACTCTAGTTTCTTTCAATATGAAGTTTTGCAACACAGCAGAATGAAATCTCATTTACTGGACACATCCATCACTTCAGACAGATCTTACTTGAAAGATGAGCTAAAATGATATTGAGAACTGAACAGAGACACTAGAACTTCAATTTATACAGAACTTTACCTTGCAGATAAACTTGTTTAATATTCCGTACTTCCGCAGGTGTTCTGGAGGCAAGAATTTCAGTCAACACTTTCTCATTGGTTCCTGCTCCCTGCAGGGGTACAAGTATAAATTGGTTGATGGGATAACAAAAGGAAAACAAGAGCTCCCTTTGAGAATCAAAAGCAAGTATCTGCTTATACACTTTGACCAAATAAAGAAAAAATTTCTTCTTCTTTCTGGTACATTGGGAGGCTTTTGGAAATAATTTCTTCAGATCCAGCTTGATTGTTTTCAGAACCAACCCAACAGTTAATAAAGTGCAGCTCACTGCTGCAGGATTCAGACGAGCACTTCCGTGTTCAAGCACATGCAGATATGCCTCAGTTCTTCACTACTACAGTCAGTAACACCAGAGTACATGAATGAATGGAGTAAGAGTTTTCATCTTAGCTTTAGTTCATCTACTGACTTTCACCAACTAGTACTCAGACAAACACACGGCCACCCAGCAATGATCTTTACTCTTCTCTGAACTATGTTACGATAAGCCTACTCCTCTTCCGCTGCAAACACATTTGACAATGGAATTGCTAACCCAGGTAGTTGAAGGTGCTGCACCCTAACTACAGCAGACACAATGGACACTTTTCACTTTTACAAGGATAAAATTTACAAGAGCCAAGCCAATAACTTGTTTCCACAAGTCTGAGTCTACTTTGCCTGTACTAATAAGCCACTGCTCTTTCTGCTTCCAAAGGATTATTTTCACTAGAGTCACACTGAAATACAATACTCTGTATTCTTTGCTTCTCCATGTTATTTACAACCTTTCCGTTAAGGAAAATCCAAATAGTAAGAGCACACAAAAATAGCCAAAATACAAATCTGCCAGGTCACATGTCAGCATTTTCAAAATACAGACTGTTTCAAGAATATGCTTATTCAGCAAGTGAGGCAGGCATAGTTATGTTAGTTCTAACCTAAGTAGCAGCAGTGAAAATTGACAGGACAATCTTCAGCACAGACTGAATGCTCTTAGCTGAGTTATCTTGCACTGAAGTCTCTGCTACCACATCTTCTTGACTGTTGTTATCCACTTTAGCTGAACTGCAGCTAGTATTGACATCTTCTCCTGTGCAGACACATTCTCTGAAATCCTATGATCTTGTGTTTCATATCGGTTTTTGTGAGAGACAAGAACAAAACCACTCTTGTTTCACTATCTCTATTTTCCCTCCTACACCCATCCGTTCTGTCATTTCCCTGTCAGTCTTTGACTCCTGAGTCAACAAGAGGAGCTTGGGAACACATCTTTTCCTTCTTGTCAACAAGGCCTTTATCAGTTTCTTTGTCAGGTGCCATCTTCCCTTCCCCCATGGCATACAAAGACATCATGGAAAAATTCCAGGAATAAAGTTTCTGTTGTCTGAGATACTATTTGCTGGGTCATGGGTTCATGACCAGTAGCTTGCAGAGTTGACTACAGCCTACATATTAACCAGCTGGTCACCAAGGACCTTGGGAGTTTATGTGTAAAGTCCCACCCAGCCAAGCACTACCTGACACTAGTCAAGTTCAATGTCCTTGACTTTAATCAACAGGTTCTGTGAATAATCCAGGGGCATCCAATTCCTGAATTCCCAGGGGTTGATGATTGATCAGACAGGTGTGACAGAGGGGGGAAAAAAAAAAAAATAGGACTATATGGAAGAAAACACACTAAAATATCTACACATAGGGATTTTAAATTGTTTACCTGGCCTTCCCAGAAAGGCACTAGATGCATTCAGCTAAAATGAAATGTTAGAAAGGTAACACAATCAAGTCTTCCCGCTGTGTGACTGGAGGCAGCTTTTAGAACACATTCAATAACACAGGTAATACCCACTCACAGCTTTGCTGGACACCCGTTTACACAAGTATGCTGGCCCAGCAAAATTCTGGACTTGCACTGTAATCCATCAGGGGCACACCACTCACTAGCTTAAGTAATAGTCCACAAGAGACGTACAAGGGATATCACGCTTTAATGAAATGCCTTGAACTAATCTGCAGCCTACGCATACAGCTGTATCGCTATAAAACATAGGCTGCTCTCAGCAGAAAAATCTAGTGTCCACTGGACTTCAGCACTACACTTTAGCAGCAAGAAGATTTTAAAAGCAACATGCTAATCTACTCATTGTATTTAAATCAGAAGGAAATAGTCTTACACTACTTAGATTTTAATCTGCATCTACAGCGACACTGTTCTCTTAAGAGTACAGTTTCTCATGAAAATAATTTCACATAGAAGTCTATACAGACTAGACTTCTAAACTACCTCTAATGAGTTATTTGGATAAATAAGAAACCACAGCATTAGCAACAATAGGAGGTGTTAGCATGACATTCCTCATTAAAAAAATTTTAAGAGGTTACTTCTATTAGTGTTCCCCTTACCGACTAAAGCTCATCCCTTAAACTCAGCAGAAGAGCAACAACCATTTCATATAATGTATTAATTCCCTTCCCGCACTCCTCTTACCTTGATGGCATGCTTCAGTGCATGAGCATCAAAAATATACGCTGGTCTCATCAAAGATACCATCAAAGTTTCAAATTTGCCGGTAAGCTCCGATTTCAGGTCATCTACAAGATCCTAGTGCAGAGCAGACAGTGCTGTAAGGAACAAGGACTAACCATTTTGAATGGACGCATGTGCATCTGCAAGCTAGAGGACTCTGGAGACACATCAAAAAGCACAAGGGACAGGGCTCACTTTGTTTTCATCAGCACCTGAACTGAAACAAATCTAGACAAAGAAGGCAGAAGAAAAGGATACATGGGCATTTGGAAAACCTGAAATATAATATCTTTTTTTGGGGGAGGAGAGGGAGAGTGGGGGCATTTTGGTATAGAAATGCTTTAAACCCTGGTTCTTCACTGCACTTGCTATTTGAACCAAAAGTTACACAGCCAGAATATTAAAGAATCTAACAATGCTGGAAGAAAGAAACAAGCTATCTTCACTTTGAACTCACTTATGGATTACAAACGTATTTGGAGTTGTTCTTTCCTGTGTTACTAAGCTGCTTTATTTGTGTGACATTTCCTAGCTCTAGAAAATTCTTTTCCTGATATCATCTCACATTGTTGACCTTGCATCAAAAGATCTCATTAATATCTCATTCAATACCAAGAATGAGGTCCGTACTAGAAGCATACTAACACCCAACTATAGGAGCTTTTGCACAAAAACACATCCAGGACATGCTGGGCTGAAATCAGGAAGAAGTTCTTCCCGGAGCGGGTGGTGAGGCACTGGAACAGGTTGCCCAGAGAAGCTGTGGATGCCCCATCCCTGGAAGTGTTCAAGGCCAGGCTGGATGAGGCTTTGAGCAACCTGGTCTAGTGGAAGGTGTCCCTGCCCATGGCAGGGGGGTTGGAACTAGATGGTCTTTAAGGTCCCTTCCAACCCAAACCAGTCTGCAATTTTACGAAATACAGAAAAATTAAGTTATTTCCTCATGCTAACCTAAAAGGAATATTCCAACCTAGCCAGCATTTAAGGATACGGCGGCAGCAATGGCGTATTGAGGGGTGGGGGGGGGGGGGGTGGGGTGGAGAGGGGGGACAGAAGCAAAACCAGATTTTCTTCGAAGGAACCTTTTACAGGGAACATGATGAAAGTGCCTTATAGTTTTAAGTAATCATCATGGGCCACATTCAGCTCATTTCTAGAGGTGTTTTTCTTCTTCTCACCCTGCCAAATAAGGTTTTAAAGGCAGATGCAATTTCTTGACGCTGAGCATTGTTTCTGCTGGTAAGAATCTTCAGAACAGTTTCTTCATCAGTCCCTGAGGTCAGAAAGAAGAAGGAGTTACAAACATACTTTAAAAAACAAACATCAGCAGCACAAACTCAAAAGGCAATGAAAGATACTTTGGAAATAAGAGTCTACTGACAAACAGCAGAAGCATTTCAACACCAAATATCACAATAACCCGAGGTGAGCTGCGAGGTCTGGTGTTCTGCTGTTGCAAAAGTATGACTGGAGGACCTATGCATTGTTTGTTCTCCATCAGTCTCTGTTCCAGACACTGCTCCCAGCACCCCTGCTCTCAGCTACAACATTCAGTCTGTATTCTGGAGAGGAGCCTTGCCTTTGGGCTCACCAAGGGATTTACTTCAGCATAAACAGTCTGCTGACACCCAGCAAAAATCCATACAGTAACCCCACACTCCCAGTGTACAGAACTGCAGAGCTATTATCCATGTTGTATACAACAGTTTGCAAGGTAGCCCTCACAGCACAGCATCTTACTAGCACTACTGAACTTGCCAACAGGCTGAGGTGTATCTCATTTCCCTTCTGCTTACTCCCACAGGCAGCTTCAAAGCAAATAGCAAATTAGGATTTGTTCTCACAGGGAAGTTCAGAGCAGACAGCTGCAGCACGAGTTCACAGACCACTTGCTAGTCTACATTCATGCTGTATGCTTCTACTCTCTCTTCCCAGTAACTGTAACGTGCTTACGCCGTTCCAGACCAGGGGGACTGTCGCACATTTTCCAAGCACAGAGCTTCTACTGTGCTGTCATAACTCTCCACAGTTGTCACCTGTAAATCCACAGCTTACACTGCAGTAAAACTGTGTGCAGAGAAGCCTGTGGAGTATTAATTTTTAACAGGGACTGTGAAAGCCACCTTCTCTTTTCCCTTATGCAAACCTAGAAATAAACATCCTTGAGAGCAGCACAGCCAAAACTAGGACACGCCCCCGACTCTGCAGTCCCAGGGTCATCACACCACGGCATGTAGACACACGCCCTACTCTCGTCTGCTAATTTAAAAAAAATGTGTTCAGAAAGGATTTTTTCAAAGGAGTGAGAGCCCTTTCCTTTACAAAAATAAATTATTCTTACCCATTCCCTTCATGGCCTTACGAAGGGCTTCTGCATCAGCTCTGGCATCAAAAGGAGAGAAGGCTGTCACGGTGCCTCTTGTGTACTAGAGGGGGAAAAGGGAAAAAGCCATGAAATAGAAGATAGCATCTTCAGCTCTCCATACATGAGCTCAGACTAAATTTGAATCCACAAGCTGATAGCGTTTTTCTTGCAGCTGTCTGACTATGTAGCAAGCTGTTAAACACAGCTCTTTCCCAAAAGGTACTACTATAGTTTGGCGCAGCAGTACACCAGCTATGCTCGGGTTTGCTTACATAATGCTAGTTGGCAGGGTTGGGATCTACAACAATGGAGTCTGAATGCAAGAAAATGAGGAACTATCATTTCTTAGAGTAATTTGGGAAAGTAACTGCACAAATCACGTATGCTAGAAAAGCTGTACAAAGATCCAAGACACGTTTGGAAGTTAGAGCTTCTCCTCAAGAAAAACCTACTAGAGCTCTCGCACAGTACCACACTGATTTTTTCCATCACGCTGCAAGTGAGCTCTGAACTGAACTCTGTAATGGCTTACAATTTTTCATCGTGTTTCTTTTGGCATAAGCAACTTTTACTCCAGTGATTCAGCTACGTTTCTCACAGTAGTTTACAGCTAAAAGGAAACAACAGTACAAACATAAGGCTAAAAGATCAGCCCATCCAAACCCAAAAATAATTTCAGGAGGTGGAACATGGCTCTTCAGGGACTTTCTCTTTCAGTCAAACACTAGAAGATATTCATCGCCCTTACAGAAAAGTCTTTATTCAAACATGACAGTCCAAGAACCTATATGTGTATAGCGCAGTAGTTAATATATAAACTGTAAGAGTCGAGCAGAGGCCAAAAGGGAAAATGACTGGATTTTGGGAATAGGGCAGTTTTTCTAACAGCTGAAGAAAGGAAATTTCTTCCAAGCGTCGCTGCACAAATGTAGCCATCAGTACATGCAGGCCATTTTTCCACTCTCAAGAGCACGAAAGGAAGTGCCAAGTCACCTACTGAGACTGCCACCAGATTATTTTGTAGGCAGCACAGCCATCTGGCCTCTGAAATACAGCCTTTCCCTCAGCTCAGCATTTTCAGCCACACAGCGCTTTGGGTTCAAGTCAAGGTACTTATCCAAGGGAGACTGCCAGAAGAGCATAGAGAGAAAAGAGCTGGAAAGCACTAACCAGAAACTGTCCTGAAGCACTGCTACCCCTCAGGCCACCTATGTGTTACTGCCAGAGACCCTCTAACCCTCCCGCTGCAGAAGCCGTAATAAGTTAGGTTTCCCTCCGCCACATTTCAGCAAACTGGAACAGAAGGTACCTTGGTGTTTAACGACAACACTAAACTTCTTTCTGGTAGCCGCTTTCCAATACCCAGCATACACGACAACTCCCTGGAAGAATTCTGCTTTTCCCATTACAAGCCAGTTTTCAGGCAGTACTTCAAGGTTAGGCACAGCGATACATACTTACTGTCGTTTTCCTAGCTAATTCCAAGGGCTATCATGAAAAAAATCTCAAGGATTTGGGACTCAATTTTATAAATTGAATTTAATTCGGCAAAAGAGATAAAGAATATAAAACTTCCGTTTTCCTCCTCCTCCCTTATTACCATGCCAGCCAGCATGGGGTTGTTTAAAGTTGTATTTCCTGCTGGTTTGTTGCGTATCATCTTAACATAACTAATATTACAGAACTACCACAATTATCCTTTGGACATGACTAATGGACAACAGGTCTCAGAGGAAAGAGTTATTGATCTTTAAGTTAAAGATTTCCTTTGCTTATCTTGTTATAAGCAAATGGAATTCATAATTCCAAAGTCTCGTGACAACAGCCCAACATTCCTCTGTGGCTGTTTTAGACAACGTAGGAGCGAACACTAAACGCTCAATTACATCTGTCTCTGCACCATCCTTCCCATTTTTGTTAACTAGGAAGAGTCCCTCCATAACTCTTCCAAAGCACAGTGTGGAAAGCTTCAACACATGCTAGGCGTGATGAACAGTTCCTGAAATTCTTCTGGTGCAGCTGTAGTCTGAGTTTTCTTGATGTCTGGGCACCATTTGTATTCCAGGCATTTCCTTCTGATGCACAGCATTTATTGGATTTTGGCTACCTAGCTGCTACAGTCACCCCTGATCAGTACTTGAGCTGCACCTAGCTCACAAACCAGAAATATTGCTGCAGTTCTGCCACCCAGTATGATGATAAAAATCCATGTCACATGGGTACCATAAATGCAGCAGCTATAACAGCAGAACCTCCAGCTACGTCTGCTGCCCTCAATACCATACGCTGGTGCAAACAGAGCACAACCACAGCAGGAGCTGGTAGCGTAAGACAAGCCTGGATACCGCTTTGTGGGCCCAAGTCCATCCTACAGCCTAACTGCCTGCAGAATCCACACGTGGGCAGAAGTGACACTCAGAATAGTTGGCTCATCACTGGGAAAGTGTCGAGCCATCCCTAACTTTTACACCAGAAACCTACTCACCTAGCTTTTTAGAGCACTGCAGTGTGGCCTGGTAATTAGTGTATGGCAGGAAATACTCAGGTACACCATGCTTAACCACCACAAACCCATCTAAAAGACCCCACTGTCCAGAAGTGCCATTATTAGTTATTCCAGTCCCCATTTTTCATTTGCAAATTCAATGGACAATGACAGAAGGCTCTGCAGTGGTAACAAACTCAGTCCACGGAGGAAAGAACTGTCTCCTTCCCAACGACAGCACATTTTGCCCAGAGAAAGACAGAGCAAGTACCTTTTCTAAACCATCATCACTGCCTGAACCACTGAAGTAAGCTTTCAGTCACAGAAAACCTGAAATAAGAGTTATGAACCAGACATTTCTAACAAACAAAGAGATCCATACCAAAGAGTTTCTGACAAAAGCCAGACACTCATTTATCAGACAACTCTGCTAGAGTTTCAACATTAAGTAGAGTTTGAACTTTATTGAAACAAACTGGTTCTTGCAGATGGATCACAGCATCACATCTGCTATGCCATCCTGACCTAATATGAAAAACGGTGAACTAAAAGACAACTGTTTAACACTTATTTACAAACTTTGTAACTCTTTATAGAAGTAAATAAATCACCTTATGGTTGGTATGTCTAAGAAGGTTCCTTGCCCTTTATGTAAACAGATGGACACTCGCACTACAGCCTCCTAGGGCACTTTCATTTTGCTTAGTAAGTTTCCCACCCAGTCGAACCTACTGCACATCAATGGAAAGGAGAACAAAGAGTATTTGATATAAATCCTTCTCTAATCCGGAGTGATCCCTTACTGAATAGCAACACCCCACGCTGGGCAGTAAATCATAGAGAAGCACAACACGCAAGACCTCAACAGAAAGAATATCACAAGACTGTAACACCCAAAACCTACCCACATTCTTTCCCTTCTACATTCCCCACTACACTGGCTGCTGTTAAGCAATCATGTAGAGTGCAAGCACAATTCATGATTATACGCTAGAAATCAAGAGTGGCTTCCATCTTCTCCAGACACCTACCAACGAGACCAATGAAGTGCCTGTATACACAAAATTAGCATGAAGAGGAAAGGCAGAGGAGGGGAAAAAATAATCTTCAAAGCAAGAGATGATCTCTGTTTAGAAGTTATGTCCCCCAAATGAGAAAATTGACATTCTCTATTATTTGTGTTTATTCTACTCTAGCAAGTTTGCAGGAAGAGAAGAAGATACCATCTCATCAGGCAAGATGTTTCTAACGAGCACCTCCGAGCTATGTTAACTTCTCCCAAGGGACAACTAAGGCTTCACAATTTGATGTCATGTGGCCACATATCCTGGCAACAGCATTATCCATAAGATCAACAATAGCCACCTAATGAGGTTCCTTTTAATTTTTCCCACCAAGCACACAAAAAAATTCCCCACCCACAAGATACCATGTTTAGCCACTGTTAAACACAAAGCACTCGTTATTAGCAAACAAAAGACCAAACTTGAACTGATTCAGACTTCTTCCCGGCCACTCTTGGTCTGTACCCACCCACAGCAGTTCATACCAGTCAGATTTCCCACGGATGAAGAGCGAACCCCTTTCATGATGCTGCTCTACAGCAACAAAAGTAGGGTCTCATCAATTTGCCACTGGAAAGCCCAGTGTCTAGTGCAGAAAAGGTGGTATGTGACCTCTTTTAAGGCAGCCATCTGTTTACAAGACGGCACAGGCAAACTGTGGAGTGGTAAGAGTGGAAATGGCGAATGTTTTCCAGTACACGGGTTGACAAACAGAGCAGGTACGCTATTTTCAGAAGACAGAAGAGAGCCCAGAAGGACACGTGCTAGTATAAATGAAAGACTGCCAAAAGATTTCTTACACAAGAATCGCCATCTTGCAGATAAAGCACAGCACAGTGTTCAGCAGTAAACTGAAAGCCTTTATGGCCACTGCAGACCAAACACAAATCCCACTTCAAATTGTGCTTTAAAACTAACATCATGTAAGAAATACGTAATTATTTCATGACATCCTTACCAAAATCTCAAGGTCAGCAGGTTGTAAATTACATTGTGAGTGAACTAATACAGGCACAGAGTTGATGCAAATGCACAACTATAAAGACACCTGTACAAAATACCTAAGTTTAGTAATGTCTCAGTTGTCCACTTAAATGGAAGGAGTAAGCTCCAGTCAGCAGACTATATTCACATCTGCCCCACTAAATTTAAACTCCTGACAAAATACGGAATTACACAACATTTGTGTTGAACTCTGAGTCAGTGCACCATGGAGATAGCAAAGATAGAGGGGAGGATGGGGGAAGAAATAGGGGAGGGAGAGACAGGGAGGAGAGCAAGCAACAGCAACATAGGAACCAATGCGGGGACCTTTGCAAAAACACTCAAAGAACCTGTCCTCACGAGCAACCTCTCAACAAAGCCCAGGAGCTGCTGTCAGGATCCGATTCTGAAAAAGCATCTGTACTCTGCAATGTGAGACAATCCTCTGAAGGGCTACTGGACTTGGCAATACTATTCCTGGGCTCCCAGTCCCACGTGCACACTGGCAGAACAGGAACTCCAGATATA